TCATTAAAATATATAGATATTCGTTAAAATAAATACTATATTTTTTACCCTTTCAGTTGATATTTAATGAGTGTATTTTGAATATTTATAAGGAATTCAAAAATAAAAATATCATATAAAACTAGAAATTTTGAAATTCTAGTCTTGTTAAAATGAAACACACGAGTAATTTCTAAACGAAATTTTACTAAATTCCAATGAATTATATATGTGTCATTATTTATTTACATGTCCATAAATTTTGCTTTAATATGGTTGATTCACGCATTTTTTTAAAAACTTTTCATAAGGTCACCAAAATTAAAAATAATAAAAATAATAATGTGGTTCTTAAATTTTTACAATTTCATAATTGAATCTCGAAGTAGTTTATGGCAGTTTGAAATTGTTAGAAAAATAATCACAACTCTAAGAATTGAACTATACAAGGTATTAAAGATTAAGGATTGAATTAAAAAATTTAATATAGAAATTTGATTAAAAAGTTACTAATAATTTAAAAAGACAGTGATGCTTTAGATCTAAAGTTGAAGTAAATTATAAAAATTGTTAAAAGTCTGTGTTATTTACTTAAATTATATATCAACATGAATTCAAATATTTAAAGTATAGTTTACTTTAAGAAAAAATAACTTTATGATAAGCTCAAATCCCCGTAAGCACAAAGAGAAGAATATAACTGGACCCTTCTAGATATAAAGAAAAAGCATTGGCTATGAATCCCCAATTCCATATTTCATTTCCTTTTCCATCATACTTTCTTTTTTATTTTTCGATCTGCTTTGAAATATGTATCATTTCTAAAAATTAAACATTAATTTACCTTCTAATAGCATCACAGTTTATTCATATTAATTTACTAACAAATTCACAATTACTTTTAAAAAAATATGATGTATACAACAATTTATACTATTAATTTTTACGGTATTTCTCTCTTATTATTATTAAAACTATTATTATTATTATTATTATTATTATATGACAATCATGATGAAGAAAAATAAACAAAAAAAATCTGTATAAATTATTTTACGTGTATTACTTATCTTCTTTCATGTAAAAATAATATTTGAAATGTTTTATTATGATGTCAAAAAAAATTGTAAAAGGAATTTTGCGATTAGAAACAATTTCAAGGATGCGCAGTTATAATAATCAGGTGCGTATAGTATATATATATATATATATATATATATATATATGAAAAGAAATTATTTTGTTCTGTTAAAAAAGAACATATATTATAATATAAGGATCAATTATAAATATGTTTTCAAGAATGCTTAGATGTTTTTCACATTTACGTTTTTTTTTTAACCATTTTCATTATATTACTCCTTATATAAGTTTTTTAATTCTTTATTTTTTTTTAATAGGAATAATTAATATTATATAAGATGTGATACTACATCATATCTAAAATTTAGGTAGAGATTCTAAATCTTTAAAAAATGTCGAGTGTTTTATTTAAAAAGTTACAATTATTTTGCATTAGGATGTGAAATGTAGTATTATTATTGTATCATAAAAATATTTTTTTATCTTATCCTTAACTTTATATATCTATTCTATTACTTACATATCTATATATTTGTGTTTGGTACAAATAAAATCTCATATATGATAAAATAAGAGATAAATATGAGTTTATATACACATAATTTCCATTGATATGAGGTTTTTTTGGAGTAAAACCAAAAACAAATTTATGAGAACTTAGTCCAAAGCGGTCCGTAATTTAAAATTTATTGTTTTTTTATTTGAACTGAGAATATTTTCTTTGTTCGATTAAAACAAAATTCAATTTTTTATTTTTAAATTTAATTTTTTTTTCCATCTCTTCTTTCATTTTTCTTTTTGTTTCGTGATAATAAATCATGTGTGCAGAATCTGTGATAATAAATCATGTGTGCAGAAGGAAAGATTCAATTATCTGTAAGATGAATTTTTAATAAATATATCATAAATATCTATATATATAAATTCTTTCTAAAAAAAAGGACAATACAATTAGCAGAAAATTAATTTTTTAATTATTATAATTTTTAAACTTTTATGTTCTAAAAATGAAAGCTCGTTGCGAGGGAATCTAGCTCTCTAATATGATCATGGATGTGGTCAACAAGCAAAAGGGTTGCGTTGTGATCAGAAAAAGCTATTCTTTGGACAAACTAATTAATTATATACACGCTTCATGGATCATTTATAATAATAAAAGAAATCAATTAAAGTTGTTGACTTTTTGTACGATTTTTTTTCATAAATATTTATAAAATCTTAAAGTTTTATATTAATTATTAGTTTTCATAAAAACTATTTTTAATTGATAAAAAAAATTGAAGTTTGTTCTATTTATAGAAAATGTTGATTGAAAAGAAGGTTTTATTTATGTTATTCTTCCCCTTTGAGATGGTAATTAATTGATATTGTTTGAAAGTTTCGTAAAACTAAACACTTGAATGAATCTTGTTGTTAAAGACATGACCCTGGCAGCCATATCACAAATTTAGAAGGATTTGTACATTATAATGTCACTTTTCAATTAAACTTGGTTAGTCTCAATATGAATAAGAATGATTAATCATCATTACTTAAGCATTTATTCACCCAAGTAGTCAAGCATATGCCTTATATGGGTTTGAATGGGTGCACCCATCTATCACTCAAGAAAACACCATTTCAAGTCTCATCATAAATAAATTATATAATTAATATTTCATACATAACTACAAAATCTCATATTTTAATGTAAAAAATATTTCTTATTAAATATATTCTCACACTAAAAAATATACTTTCACACATATAAATTTTTTATATTCATTTTACACTATTTTTTTTATTTTTTAAAAAGAAAATACAAAAAATTGTCTTTTTATAATTATTTTATTCATATACTTCATGTCAAGATGAATATCATTATTCTATCACAATACTCTTTTTCTGACAAAAACCTACTTTATCAAATATCAAAGTTATAATCAACTCGTAATATAACAAATTGTATACATTGAAATTATCAATGTAATATAAAACTCACAATTATTTTAATAGATTAACTTTTATTTGATAAAATTGTTACAAAAATACAGTATTATTTATATGCTTTTAAGATTATTTATTTTTACAAGTTTTTATATAAAAAAAATTCTCCATTTTTTCTTAATGTCTAAGTATTTAGGTATGAGAATGGATTATTCGTCTTCTTTATACTGATATGTGAAAAGTATTACTAAAAACCCTCTAATGTTTAAATCAATTAAAAAACCTCTGATGCTCAAATCAGCATTATACAATAAATAATACTTAATTCATAAATAGTGACTCTTTTATAATATTGTGATAGATTCTTACTTAATTGGACTTAAGTTAAATCGGTTAAGTTTTAGAATGTTTTAATCTTTCATTATGTTAAACTTAAATTGTTTTAATCCAGTAATTTTATTTTAAGAAATAATTCTATAATACGATGTCGGTGTACATAAGTTAAAAATCATTGCAGGTTAATTGTGTTTTTTTTTTTTAAATTTCGTGTAGTATTTATACTTATTAGCTTTGATGGATTCATCATCACGATATAGGACCACTTAATTTGTACTGTATATGGATGTAAATTCTCTATTATATATTTTTCAAATAATTAGCTTATTTACTTTATTATATATATATGGTATTGTTATAAAATTTGTTATAAGATTTTAGTATATATATGATATGGAAGCTCGTATATTTGGCTGAAAAAGGAACACGTGATGATTAAGTAATCCAGCAAATAATTACTATCTTTGACCGCGTTTGGTGGCAATTTTGCAAAGTTCACACACACCACTCTTTCACTCCTTTGAGCAGTTCCCCCAAACATTTTCCTAAGAAACATAACTGTTTCTAAATGAACATATTCCTTTGTTACATAAACTAATAACAATGTTAAAATGTCAAACAGTTATCTCGTAATGCATGGATGGATATACATTATTAAAATATTTAGCAAATACATGAAAACAAAAGGCCAAACACCAACGTTTATATAATAGTAGAAATTTTGACATTATGTAAAACCAGCTCGAAAAACTTTTAGATGTGTGTGCCAGTTTGGTCTGATATATAGCCTGTTCGTGAAATTACACACATACCTGCTTCTACTTTCAGGTTTTTGAACGTAAAAATCTCTTTTCATCAATACTACACTTGCGGTGTGGCCCTTAATCATCTCTGTTGTTGATTGGATTCTTAAAATACATGGCGCTGAAAAACAAAAGCTTTACGAATTAGACTGAAATAATTATGCATAGCTACTATATATATATATATATATATATATATAATCTGTAAAATGTGTTGTGGAGGGCCAAGTTGCTGGAAGTGCATGCACAAACTTTTGCACAGAGATTAAAAAATTGATTTCATCATAAATAGCATATCATAGAGGACCTTGGCCACCTCTAGCTTTAATTTCATGCTTTTCATTGAAAATCTTTGAGAACTTTATATACATGCATGCAGAATTAATATATATTCAACAATATAAAACTGGCATATCTGATATGAAATAGCTGATGACATGAGGAAAGAAACGGTTATTATTTTTTTGTCACACAATTACCAAAGTTATTTTTTACACTCTGTGGTTGTTGAAGTCCAATGATTGAAAAAGTGATCCCTAAGAAGTGAATTCACCATTGCAATTATGCATAGTTACCGCTCTCAAAGGAACAAAAAGGGAAAACCAGAGAGGTAATTAACTAATGAAATTGGTAAGGCATCAATCTACGATATAAAGCAATTGAGATGCAAGTGTCACCAACCAACCCGGTTGAAAATAATTTCTTTATCTGCGTGTGTCCAACGTGAATCTGATAAAAGTGTGGGCCCCACCACCCTGCATGTGTGCCACGTGTACAATCCAGCCCATCTCAGAGTGAGCTCACAAGGATCCATTATAAGGCCTACAATTGTTGCAGTGTAACACTGCACATTTTAGCTCTTTGCTACAAACCCTAACTGGGCCACAATGGTACAGCTTCTCTCATTAAATTCACCACCTCAGTGTACTCACACCTTCACCATATCATCCATTTTCTGTTCACTCTTCTCTCACCACCATTCCTTTCACATTTCCATATACCCTCTTCAAACCTAGGGCTAAACCTACTGCCTACTACTTCCCTAATCTTTCATATATTATTCAAAATTCAAACATACTACCAAAAACTGATCTTTCTTTGCCCATTGCCTCTGTCTACCACTGCTTTTAATTTCAGTCTGAGGAATAACATAGCCACACTCACACAAAGAAAAAGGAAATTCAAGATATGGGGCACCACTCTTGCTGCAACAAGCAGAAGGTCAAAAGAGGACTCTGGTCACCTGAAGAAGATGAAAAACTCATCAACTACATCACAACCTATGGCCACGGTTGCTGGAGTTCCGTCCCAAAACTTGCAGGTAATTTTATTCATTCAGCAGTTTATAAGTGTTCTGTATGGTTAATTATATATTTTCTCAAAGTGCAGGCCTGCAGAGGTGTGGAAAGAGCTGCAGATTGAGATGGATAAATTATCTAAGACCTGATTTGAAACGGGGAAGCTTTTCTCCTCAAGAAGCAGCACTCATTATAGAACTTCACAGTATCCTTGGCAACAGGTTTTGTTTTTGTTTTTCTTCTTTTGTTTTGAGTTCTCCTTAATAATGATGATTTCCCCCGTTAATTGCTCTTTTTGATGATGATCAAAGGGAGCATTATTATATGAAAAAGTTTTGTTTGTTCACTTTTCTTAGCAAGAGGGCATTGTTTTGGACAGGTGGGCTCAGATAGCGAAGCACCTACCTGGAAGAACAGATAATGAGGTGAAGAACTTTTGGAATTCAAGCATAAAGAAGAAGCTGCTTTCTCATGATGTTGTTCCTTCTTTAGCCACATTTTCTGATATTCACGGTCTTGCCAATGGTTCCATGGAAAGTTTCTTCCCTTTAACTGACAACACTATCCTAAACTCCCATCATCACTTAGACCAGCTATACCTTCCCATCATCCCAACCCCAATCCTACAAGCCTTTGATCATCTCAACAATGATATCAAGATTGACATAAACAATTATCATAATAACAATAATAATAATAATCCCAATTTCCTACATTTTCAGAATCCAATGCCAGAAACAGTGCCACCATCCAACAACATTATTCCATCTTTGTTTGAATTAGAATCTACATGGTCCTCGTTGGGGTGTGTACCCATTCATCTTAATCCAAATCAACAAAGTCAAACAATCACCACCAAAAGCGATACCACCCCACACTTAATTCTTGAGAAATTCATCAATCCAAGTACATGGCAGAACCAGGCAGTGGAACCGACCATTGATCTTGTTCCAAAAGTGTGTGAGAGCATCGAGGATTATGTCTGCAGCATCCCATTTTCTTCTTCTGCCAATTCACAACATCAACACGAGGATGCTGTCGCCTGTTACACACCAGGTATTTGTCCACAAGATCAAATTGCAGTACCCAATCAAGTGGAGTACATTGATGCCATCATCATGTCATCGTTGCCATCCTCAACAACAACATCTTCATCAGTATCACTCTATCAAGCAGACAAATAGCCACAGAAAAAAAAAAAAAAACTTCAAGTTGCTGTCATCATCATAAGCATTAATTATTCAAATCACTACTATATATAATAGGTTAATTTTATGTATATATAATTGAGTAGTGGGAGTGTTGTGATGAGGTGAATTAATTCCATGCATTTAATTTTCTCTTGAATTTTGGAATAAGAGGGTAAGTAGATCTCCTATTGGCAAACCTCTGAGACATGCTAGTTCTGACTCTCTTCCATTAAACGATGTTTGCTGAGGTTCCATAAATATATGTAGGTTCTTTCACATGTTTGTCCTCTAAAAGTACGTGTCCATGTTTGATTTTTATTTCTCTTGTGAACTGCTGGATGTTGTATAACAATCATATACATTAAGTTGACTCGTTGCCCTTTGTTTTCCTCTCTCTCTCTCTCTCTCTGTGTGACAACGTAACAAAGACAAAAACCGTACAAACACCATAGTCAACTTGTTGGCACTTGAGGCCAAAGTGACCTTACATGTGACCTAGCTAGGTTAGGATGTTCTGGCTGCTATATGACATACCATGTTCTGATGTGATCGCTTAAACAAGCAACAACCAATATGAACTGATAAATAATATCAGAACAATACGAGCTAATTGTGATTGAAGAGAACAATTTCATAACTCCAGATCATATCGACATAGACTTCTTTTTGCATCTTCCACAAGTTTTCTTTAACTTTAGCTATAGAAACAAACTCTATTATCAAAATTAAAGAGAGAAAAAGAGTCCTTTTTGCTTTTGCATGGTAGATATATTTAAGGGACCATCCTATCTTGAGTCTTGACATGTTCATTACCCGGAGAAATTTTGATCTTGCTTATACTTTGGTTAAAGTTTTAGAAAAAATAATATAAAGAACAAAACGTCACTTCCAGTCCTTTGAAAAACGAAAGAAGGGTGACGAGAAAAATAGAAGATTGATTAAGTGAACGTTTATATCTACATCAGAATTTTATCAGGTAAAAATTAAACTCCCATTACTATAATAAGAAATAGTAAGAATTATATAATAATAAATACGTGGTTGATGTCGAAATTAAGGTTGAAAAAGTCATTTACATGTAACAAAATTTAGGTTTGTTGTTAAACGAAGTTAATTTAAGTTAATATATAAGGGCCATTCAATTTTATTTAAATGATGAAAATTAAAAAAAAAACTTATTTAAAGATTAAGTAATCAAGTTAAAGGATATCATGATTCAATAGCTTTCTAACTTTATCATGTATACATTATTAAGAACAGTACATCAGGAGATTATTACATCATGTCCCATTTTCCATTATTAAATATTATACAAAAAAGAAAAACTTGTTTTTCCCATGTCGTATGAAACACATGTTTATTAAGTGATGAGATCTTTAATATATTACAGCTCATGATTGCATGTAAAGCAACATTAAGCAGAAATTGTTGTGGGTGTAAATTATGTATATGAATTAATTAGATTTCTCCAGTAACTGTACAATTTCTTCTTCCCCAACTCCAACTTTCCATTTATTTGCTTCATTTTGTTCTACTTCTCTCATTCTTTCCATCTTTCGAACTGATTAGTGTGTAAAAAACAAAGTTTTATACTTATCATTAGAATTCATGATAGATGACTTGGATTGATATATCTTTCAGCACACTCTAGTTAAAATAGTTGTCAAGTAAGAGAAAAGTTATTGCCAGTTAAAAAGGAGATATATTCCTTTACTGAATCATCATCATGTTTTGAAGAAGCAAAAAAGAATATTTCATTCTAAGTTGATTGGTCTATGTTCTATTAATCTTATTTGAATTGGTTTTCTGATATTAAAAAACCAAAATGGAAGTGTAAATTATATAATGTTACTAATATCACTTACATTCAAACACAAACCAGTTATTTTATCAGTATCTTGCCCTAATAGTAATGTTTCTTCTCTCTCTCTCAAAATTGCTATTGAACTCGTTGTCAATTTTTTGTCACGTTCCTTAATATTTGCTTTCTCACTTAAAATATTAAGACAATAATGTTAGACAGTTTAAAGTATACAAGGCACTAGAGAGACAAAAAGGGACTTTTGACTTATAATTTGTATAATTTATATAGCAATTTATGTTTAAGACGTCTAACCTATTAGCATGGATTCTGACACGAACGCTGGGCACAAATACTTCAATACATGTAATCTTCAAAAAATGTAGAATGTAGAGATACACAACACTCCATTAATGAGACATGTCCGAGCTTCATAACATCTAACAAAACACGTTGTTCATTACATGACACCCAAAAAATGTGAATGAAACCAATCAGAATATCTATGATTCATTGAGTCTAGTTACGAGATTGAGGCTGTCTTTTTTATTAAGTCTTGTGTCTCAAAGCTTCTCTTCATCACTTTTCGTCCTATTTGGTCAAATTAAAAAATTATTTGTAGAAAATACTTTCATATCAAAATCGATAAATATTTGACGAGTTTCATAGTTAATACATAGTAAATACAATAATCTATTTCTTTACCTAAAACCTGTATTGTAGATTTCAAAATAAGTTTTGAATAATTATGATCTAACCTGTAATAATCCTGTTTAATTATAAACTAATCATCATCAAACCTAATTATTATTTATAGATGACAATTCACCATTCGATCATTGTTGATTGTCCAATTCAAGATTGATGAAACGGTTATAAGGTATAGAATGATTTTTGGATTTGGAGTTTTGAGTTTGGAAACAATAATCAAAAGTTGAGAAGAGTATTGACACATAATTGTTGTAAAGTGTAAACATGAGAATAAGAATGAGAAAAAGACAATGCATAAAGAAATTTAGTAAGAAAAACTGGAGTTGTTATTCAGAAGCTGAGATTATAAAAGAAGCAGTAAAATTAAAAGAAAGGTTAAAAGATGTTGGGAGAGAGAAATGATAAAGTTGGAAACTGAGAATGGTTGTAAGATTCCATTGGTCGTGTTGTTGGTTCATATACCATTTGCTGTCTTTCTCTTACATGTTGTCCCTGTTTCCTCTTCCTTTTCTTGTGTTTGCCGTTACCCAAGCACAGTGAATATAGTAAAATATGTTTTCTGTCCACGGTAACAATAGCTCTGCTTTTTTCTTTTTTCTTGCAAAAAAAGTGGAAATTCATATTAATGAATGGAAATATAAGAAAGTAAAAATGAATGAATGAATGAAAGAGGTATTATTAAATAAAGGAAAAGGGGTTGGAAAAATGAAGGGGAAAACATGATTGTGGTGAGATATGGAATCTTCTGAAAGAATCTAAGTTAGGGGGACAAAGGTGGTTTCAATCATGGAATGATTGTGGCATACCTACCCGTTTGCCTTTTTCTTCTTCTCTGCCTTCATAATTAATAATCTTCTGATTTTGCAAATTGCAATAGAAAAAGAACTACACTCAGAAAGTTCCTTTCTCTTGTTCATCACAGTCGTCGGCACCGCGTTTCTTCAATAATTCGAAGGTCCCATAGCCATGGAAGTGTGACACAAAGGCTGGGCCTTCTTTTTCACTCTCTAATCATTTCTTTTTATTAATCTCCCACCCTTTTTCTTCGCAGGAATTCAGCAACAAACTCAGCTTAGAAAAAAAATTTAAAAACAATCATACAATTTTGAATTTAAAATAATGTTCTGACAGTTTCTAACTTATCATTACCGAATATTTTCTAAATAACTCAATAGTATTTTGTCATTGTGTCCCATTTTGCATTTTACAGCAATTAGTCCATCTTATCAATCAAAACTAAAATCGAACTATTCTTCCTCAATGTTTAGTTATCAGATATTTTATTCATTTGCCTCTGGGAAACTCAGATCTTGCAGTGAAACCTGGTTAAGATCTACGACAATTGATTCAGTTTTAATATAGACAGAAGAGAGAAAAAAAATCGAATTTACTGGTGAAATTAAGAATTACATGGGGGTGCAGTTGTTTTTCTAAATTGCACCGGATCCACTTTTGGATAAAATCAAGGTGATGAAACTTCTTCCTGCACCCCATCAATTTCTTTCTGCATCTAATCCTTGGGCATGGCATGGAGCGGGTCTAAAACCTAGATTATCAAACTACTGATCTACTACTTCATGGGTTGGGTTGGGTTGGGTTGGGCTCAAATATTTTTAGTTTTTTTTTTAAATTTGCACATTATTTCCAAGAATTTTTTTCTCACTCAAATAAAAAATTGTTTTCTGTTTTTATATTCGTTAAGTGATTAAGTAAAACTGATATTATGTATTTTATTTTGCATTTTTCCTCCCATTAAATTTTGATATTTTGTTTTTTATCCTCAATAAATCCTTTCTCATTTTAGTCTCTCAAAAAGTATTGCTATTTTCGCCCATGCTATTGACGTTTTTTAAATGATAAATTATTTTTTAAGTGGCTGAAGAGAAGATATATATATATATATATATATTCTAAATTGTTTTATTTAAAAAAAATATAATCAATATGATGCAATGAATGATGCTTCCTTTTATTTAAAGTTGTTGTAATTTTTTTATTTTCATACGTCCGACTTGTTGGTGAAACTAAAAGGAAGAAGTCCAAAAAGAAATTATACCTTTTAATTTTTATCCTTTTGGATTTCACCTCTAAATAAAGGAAGCTAAAAGAAAAAGAAAAAGGAGATACAAAATTCTAATTAAATAATTTTAATTAGAATAATTAAAATTATTCTAATTAAATAAAAAAATTCTTTAAAAAAATACACATGTCCTCATACTGAACCTCTTACATACTTCATTAATGAATAATTCCCCCTTAAAATGTCAATAAACAATAAAAACTATAACAGACTAATTTTGATAGCAGACCAATATAAGAAAAAAAAAATTGAGAATCAGTGTAAAGCTATTGACACCAAAAGAGGAAAAAAAGCATCGTATCTCTCCTACTTAACGAAGTATCACTTAACAAATATAAATAAACTGAATAGACCAAACTAAAAATATTTTTTATTAAAAGCAAGAAGAAAAATAAAAAACAGTTCGAGCAAATAATATATATAACCTTTTAACATTCAATTAAATGTAATAATTTGTGAAGTAATAAAATAAAATTAGGATATAATTGAGTAATTACGCGATCATTAGATAGCGGTGAGAGGGATTTAAATATTCCATCTAAGATCACATCATGGATTCTAATCTTCTTGTGAGAACTTAACCAAAAATAGTAATGGTGGTTAGTTCGGTTTCAATAGTTTTGGACCAAGTTGTTCGTTAATTGGTTTTGCGAGAAATGGTCCAAACAAAAAAGAAATTGTGTAGTTTTTTCGTTGTTTGTTTTTCCTTATTTTTTGAGTTTGTATTATTAATTCTTTGTACTTTGAAATTACCCTGAATGGTTACATGCAGTGAGCGGACATTAATTTTCATGACGCCTCTGTTGGTGTTAGAATGCATTAGGGAGCCCAACCTTCCACCAAACCTGTTAAGATATGCCAAATATTCTATTAAAGGATATTAGGCAATCAAATATTATGTTAGTTATAATTTAGATATTATTATAATTTGTGCAGATTTGTGCACCTGTCATTCCTTTAATAGATGAAGGATTATAGGATCTTAAATGTATATATATAGTACTCTACTCTTTGAAATAATATATCAGATTTATTCTTTAAACCTTTTATTAATACCTTTTATTCTTTGTGCACCGTGCTTTCACGTTTCACTTATTGCTATCAACCCACAATACCTTTTTTCTAGAGTAATAAATAGCATACCAAAATTAACGCCATAAATAAAGCTTGAAGCTATATTCTTTTTCCAAAAACAATCACAGATGTTTGAACGTGTTATATTTTCTAAAGATCTACATAGAACTTGATTATAAAACTAACTCTTTCAAACCACATTTTTCATCAGAGAAAATTTTAACTATCTTCAAACAAAAACAATCGGAAAATTACAGCTGCTTCAGTGTTTTTGCTCGCAATGGATGTTACAAACAGACGAAAGGGCATTTTTCTAAAATATGCCCAAGAAATTACAAGAAGCATTTGCTTCAAATCAGAAATAACTTAGTGACCAAAGGAACTGAAACAATGAAGAAGGAAACAAAAGTGTAAAAAAGAAAAATAGTACAGGTGGAAATCCACTATTGAATTACTATTGAATTGGTGTGACTGCCTCTGCTCCATCTTTGCGTTGATTAAGAAAAAAAAAAGAATCATCATAAATCTCAAATTTACACAATCATACTAAATTTATTGTCCATCAGGAAGCACGGTAGAAACCCAATCAGAACATGCCATTTGAATATCAGATTCAATAAGAGGAGAAAGAAACTGCGGAATCACTGCAACCTGTTCATGTAGATCACATGCAATAGTCGTCAGTCAAAGGAAGGGAAATCGGTCGCCCCCGAAGATACCAGCATAGTGGCATGCACCGATAAGGGAAATGAGTACACTAAATAAAAGAAACTAATGTTAATTGAAAAGGCAATTATTCATTGCTCCAACTTACATATCCATTTTCAAGTGCTCTGTAATCAAGATCTTCGTCTCCTTCTTCCTGCTCCTTGTCCAAAAACTGAAGATACAACATGAGTATAGCTAAGTTCTCTTCTACGAAAAATGAAAAAATATTCAATTGGAATAACATCCACAAATATAAACAAATGCAAGGGAAATTAGAAACCCCAATCATGTCACCAAACTGCAGGGGGTGTCACAAGAAATATGAAGTGGATGAACCCGTGATTAAAATTAACCAATTAAAGCTACACGCGACACGAAAACGTTATTTTATGATAATCTCCTCCACATATTGCTATCTTCAAAATCATAATCATGACACGGACGTATTAGCGGGTGATAGAAAAAACTGTAATAAAAGAGTTGTTTTTCATCATATTTACCTCTAGTCTGAAGTACTTCTTCACCCTGTTGGGATCAGATTTTCCTGCAGCTCCAGTTGATTCAATAATCTCCAAATTCTTTTTTTGCGTGGCCAATCGCCGAGCTGCACCCTGAGGTTGATAAAAGAGCAAGATTGGAGAACCATCGCCATTTGAATAAAAGCATTAAAATTACTTTGAACTACCGATAACATAAAGGCATGATATGATAAGTACGTAGGACACCTACAGCTGCAGAGGCATCTCGACCAAGCTGTGCAAACTGAAGACCAAGGCCACCTTGATTGGCCATGAAATGACCGGGTGGATAGCGGCTGCTGGAAACCGCTAGCCAGTTCAGAGTGGATTTCCGCATACTTTGCTTGGTCACTTTGAAGCCCTATCAAAAGAATGATTACACAACATCCTTGTAAACAAAAAGAAAGATATAACTATGTAACATTTCAAATCATTAGAATCTAATCAGCCAGGGATATTATCATCCACACTAAACTTTGCACAACATATGGCCACCCGCATTTGCATAAAGGAGCATAACATTCAAAAAAAATTGACCAATACATCATAAAATTTGCTTACCTTGTTACTCAAAGGAGATGTTGGAATTTCTATATTCAAAAAACAGCTTTTGGGAAAAGTTCCCTTTTCAACATCCTTGATGGCCGCATTTACTAATGGTAAACAGACTGATACAGCATCCTTAAAATCGTCTTCTTGGCTTTCGTCCTTCTTCCTACAACCAGACACAATATCAATTCATAATGCCCATCACAAAAGCACCAAATGTACAGAATCATGAAATTACCAATTTAACGATATGGATAACGCCGGTACACCCCATAACAACGCCTCCCTAGCTCCAGCAACAACCCCTGAGTATAACCTGGGAATTTTATAGCACGAGATAAACACGGGTTAAAACATAAAGACTTTAAAGTTCCTAGATCGTGTACAGACTTAGATCTACATGTTCATCTCTAACCATCAAATGAACAACTTACATGTGATGACCACAGTTCGATCCCCGGTTAATCCCACTGACAACCTGAAAATTCAAACCACATTATCATCGACAAATCTTCAGTCCTTCATAATGAGAACTATGAATCACACACACAATTGATAATCTCCAGCGACACTAACCAGCGTAGGCTTTGACCACGAAAACAAAGCTCCTGATAACGCCAGCGAAACACAATCCACGGGAGTTCCTGAATTATATAAACAATTAAATTCTATTAACCGTATAACTGCATCGATATTATTATTATTATCACTATTATTATCAACTAGACAATACCAGAAATCTCAAAGGCGGTGGCGCCACTAACTTTGGCAGAAGCGGCTTCAACGGTTTCTCGGAGGGTTACGGAGTGCCCCGAAGCCGATTTGTCCCTACGCAACGGTTTGACAAACTACCAAATTACAAAGAGAGAACTAAAAAACGTTGTAGAAAACTGCATTCAATTACGTCACAGACTCACGATTGAGGAACGCAGACGTGGACATTGTAGAGGCCTTGTTGAACGAGAGCCTGAACGAGGTGCGTGAGGCCAGGCGAATCGACGCCATCGCTGTTGGTGACCAACACAATAGGCTTTGACTCGTCGAATTCAACGGGCTCCAAGGTCTCCGTGGATTGTTCCTGCTCCGCATTGGCGTTCGAATTGGATTCGCCTTTGCGGCTGAGAAGCACTTCTTGCAGATTGGAAACAAGCCCCGGTGGCATCATCTTGCAACGACGTCGTTGGGAACGGTCGCAGAGAAAAAGAAGATTGAAAAAGAAAAACCCTAACAAGAAGAAGAAGAAAGAAAGAAAAGAAGAGGAGAAAAAGGCGGAGCAACAAAGCGCTGAAAATGAAGAAAGAAAAGTGAATGAAATTGGATTGATAAGTGATGAATGATATTAGACCGCTTCAAACGCCCTTTAAAATAAGAGAGTAATGAAACAGCTTCCTAAAATTTCAATTTTAATTTCAATTATTGATGTCGAGATCTGATTAGTTATTTATGTCTCTTCTTTTTTTTGTTTTTGTTTTTTTCCCTCTTCTAAATTCAAAATGGAATAATTACATTCACAAAAAATCAATTTCATGACGTCAATCTTCTACTTTAATAATGTAAACTTGTTTGGATAAATGTTAGGTTATGTTTGAAAATTAAATATAAACGATCGCGATCAATTATTCGAGAAAAGTCAGAATCTAGAATTATAGTGAATATTTCTTGTGTTTTTTATTTGATTAATGAATCTATTAAAGTTAAGAAAAGCTTGTCATGTTTTTTAATTGCTTTTTATTGAAAAAAACGCGTTTGTAACTTTCAACAACAACAAAAAAGAAGGTTTTGAAAGAGTGTGAATCTTGATTGAACTTATGAAATTAATTTGGGAAAGTCCACAGCTACAAGCTACTGCCCCGGGTAACAGACTTTACAAGCTTTCAATGCGTCACACTTTTTCTTTGGAATGATCCCAAATGGCTCATGCCACTTCAAAGTTTTGAATGGTGGGACAATCAGCAAAAAGATGACATTTTAAAATTATATTAAAATAATATAGAACTATATAAGTTTTACATTCACTTGAGTTTGAGAAGAGAAGAACAACTTGTATAAAAAATTAGTTATGATTTTTTTCATTATTCATGAAAATTAATTTGACTGTAGACGTGTTATGATGCATTAGATTAAAGAAACTGTTTTGTGATCAGAAATAATCGTGTAATAAAGTATCATGAAAGAAATGGCCAAACTTATAGACTTAGCCTTACAAGTGCTTTGTTAAAAAAATAGCAACATACATATGCACTAACAACTTTATTCCTAAAATATAGGTAACAAAGTATCACGAAAACTAAAACATAAATGTTTCGGGTATGATTTCAATGTCAACTTTCTGATTTTTAATGTGTTTGTTCAATCAAGGATTGAATTCGTCCATAGCTCTTTCATGCATCCAAACCAATAGATGGTATATATAGATATCTTGATGTCAAATTAGTTTAATTTAGATATATGAATATTATAATTAATGTGTAACCTACATTATTCATAGGTTTTGTGTTAGGGTTTCTTTATTAAAGTTGGCTTAATTATGGTACAAGTGTGAGTAATCATAATCTTACATTGAGTTAATCACTTTTAAGATTGATCCTCCTTCTACGTGTTTTGTTCGATGTTTGATATAAGGTTGGACAATTTGCTTTGTGACTGTTTAGGCTTAATGACTTGTTCGTTGGGTTGGTGTTGACCATCTAATCTTATGTATGGTCATTTAGTATGTTTAGTAACCATTCGGGCTCAATGGTATGTTCACCAAGTTGGTGGTTGACCATCTGATCTGATGCATTTGGGAATGATTAGGTGGTTGACTTCTTCCATTATACCGCTCATTTGGTTCCTTAGGGTCACCTTAGGGTTATAACATTGATCACTCAGTCTCACGGTGGGTTCCAAAATGTTTCGAAAGGTCCTAAGTCAAGCTTGTAGCAGGTCTCCAACGTCGAGTATTGTTGATTTCTTACATGTTTTTCCTTATTGTTCAGGTGCTCTTGTTGTATTATGTGGTCGAATGGGTGTTGAGTTATCAATTGCTTGATTTCCAAGGTTGTCCAAAATCTTCTCGAATAGTATCTGTAGAACAACACTCCAATGCTAAAGTCAGTAAATAAATGTTCGGTTAGCAATCAATGTTATGTGCATGTATATGTAAGTCAGACCTTATACCTTTATATATAGTATAGTTGTCATGAACTTTTATTTTTTTGTCAGGCTAATCATGGCCAATCATACCTTAATCTGCATTAACAGATTGATTCGTCATTACCATTGTTAATATATCATTCGACCATGTTATTCAGTCGCAATAGTTGGCTACTCGTCATTACCAAACCATTATGTAAACGATCAACCATATCATTCGATTAGTGTGATTGGTCACGGGCCTGAAGCTCACTTTTGAGAAGCTCAATCTAGAGGAGTTTAGTCTAAAATGGTCAATCCCAAAAAGCTTGAACCAAATAAATTTAACCTGAAATGATCGTTTTAAAAAGGCTTGTCTAAAAGAAACTCGGTCAAACAGTTAAACAAATACATTAAAAAATTTCATTAAATTTGATATCTTTACCGTCTCTCCACTTAAAATATCTAAGAATTCATTAAAAACAAAGTCAAATATTATTAACAAACTGAAAAATAATTCATTTTATAATTTTTATTTATATATTTTTTATATACATATTCTATTCTTTTCCTCCTCCAAATCAAAATTAAATTAAAAAAATTATAATTATACAGTATGTTTGTATCAATATACAAATCTATAACTTATTTAATAAAATATCTTTATTTCAACATAAATTATCTCTCTTTACCTTAAGCATCGCATGTCCTATATTAAAGGAGCAAAAGAGTATTAGAATTATAAATGTAAATTTAAATTAATATAAATTTAAATGGAACGGTTGAATGACGTACCAGGTCCAGATACATGTCATTCACTAAAATGTCAAAACATGTTTTATTAATAAGAATTTAGCGTCTATGTCGTGTAGCCAACAATCAGTATAATGACAGGTAGATGCAACCAAAATTTTTAGTTAGTGCTTATCCGATCTGAATCTGAATATCTTCTAATTTATTTTTTGTCGTGATTAAAATTTTGTTTACCAAACATAATTAAATCCAATTGCTCAGAGAATAATAAATATTCTTCATGGTATGCTTGTACTGGCCTTCTTTCGACGTGTAGATCATGTCGGATTGCCAGGATAAAAAATATGTTAAACAATACTTTGAAAACATGTTAATAATGAAATCTTTGATAGAGTTTATTTCTTTACAAATGTTATTAAAATAAACAAATCTCGGTTTTTTTAATCTTCTTATTTTATAAATATTTTTCTAGACACATCCTATCTACTTTTTTAACAAGTATTTTTTTTTAATTATTTATTTCATTAACACTTAATTTCAAATGTGCGTTTCGCCGCCATTCGTGTGGGCTTGCTGTGTGGTGCAAGACTTGTGGATAAACAAAGACTGCAATTTCTTCCCGCACCACCCTTTTTTTCCTCCTGCACCCTTATAAGCGTTGTAATCCCAAAATACCTTTTATTAAAATTATAATAAAAATTTCAAAACATGTGTTCCAGAATATATTTTTGATAGGGTTTATTTTTTAAATTTTTTTATTAAAATAAACAAATTTCTGTTTTTTTAATCTTATTAATTAATAAATAGTTTTCGAAACACATCATATCTAGTTCTTTAACAAGTATTTCTTTTCAATTATTTATTTCATTAACTCTTATTTCAAATTTAAACAAACAAGAATATCCAATATGTCTCTATGTATTAGTTTGTAATACTCAGAACATTTCTAACAAAAAAAAATCCTTAAAAAGTTCACAACGATTATTTATAAAAAGTTTTGTAAACTATTTTTTTATGATCTCTGTAACACTTTTCATCCAGTGTCACGTCACATCATCTTTAAAAAAAACTCATTCAATTTTATTACAAGACATTAAAAAAAACCTTTTAATATTTGATTTTTTTTTAACTATGTTTGAAATAATTTTTCCGTAGAAATTTGTTTCATTTTATTCAGAATACTTTTACTTTCAAGGATTTTCTTATTTACTAAATTTCTCTGAAGTAAAAAAACTCCATATTTTTTGTTAAAATTTATCAAACTTCTGTTTAACATTATTTAGAATTTCATACTTTTTCTTTCTTATTCACTAAAATTAAAAAAAATCGGTATATCACATAAAATTTTCAGTAGTAAACCATTAAAAATCCTCTTACAGCTAATATGACAGATTTTTAATACTCTGACACTATTGTTAATATGACAGAGCAAAAGATAACAAAACAGTACGATGAATTTATTACAATGGTTACAGAACAAATTTCTAACAGTAAGTAAAACCACCTATCATCAATTTATTAAATAGTCCTAAAGATCTTGATCCTGGTTGGTAACTGGTGTGACATGTATAGAGTTCAAAAGGGGATGTTGTAATTTCAAGATGCAGTAATATACCAAAGACAAGTTTACTTTAGCTTTCACAATCAATGCAAAAACTTAGTGACAGATAAACCAGAGAGCCAAAGCTAAAACTTGTTACATTGAAGCAAGAATTACCAAGTTAAATAATACTTACATAAAAGGACAATTAAACATGTTACAGAGATAATTTAAACATTGTCACATGGTGCTGTCTGCAGTGCAGTGCCCCATGTCTGAGCTATCCCTGACCCTTTCTTTTCCTAGCTCTACTTCTCAAAGCAGACACACGGGCCCTGTTCTCAGTCTCCTGGAATTAAAGAAACCAACTCAGTTTCCAAAAAGAGACATTTGAGAAACAACAAACAATGGCATGCATCATAATACTCACCCTTGTTACAATCATATGTTTCAGGCCAGCAACTAGCTCAAACAAATACTCATAAGCAGCCTTGTGTGGCTCCTGCAAAAGGAACCTTTACTTTAGTTTTGGCCTAACCATGTTAACACTTATGTTGTTGGTATATCATAAATGATACACTCTACCTGTATGTTTGAAGGCAGAGGTAACCCTTCAACCAGTGATGCCCTTGGAACCTCCACAACTTGAGTGCCACCTGATCCATCAGGAAGTTCAACACTCCAACATGGGGCATTGTATATACCTAATGCCCCAAAGTCAAACTCAGGTCTCATCCTTTCTGGATAAAATCTTTCAGAAGCAGAAAGGGTAGAGGTTGAAGCCTGTGCATTCATGTCAGCACAGAAGTAAGCTGATTCAGTGTTTCCATCTCTAGCCAGCAATATGACATAATGATTATGAGAAAATGTTCTGGGCATCTCAAGTCTTCTTCACACATGAAATAGTTATAGGGACACATGATAAATGGAGTTTTAAGTGATACAAATTAGCATGGTTGGTTGCACATGTTATGTATCATAGGCATGGTCAAGGGCCTTTGAGCCTTACTTCCCATATATTTTTTTAACTCCAACACCAGAATATTACTTATCCATATTCACACAAAAGTCCTTAATTCAGGCTGATATGGGCACAGACACAAAATTCACATTNATGCCCCAAAGTCAAACTCAGGTCTCATCCCTTCTGGATAAAATCTTTCAGAAGCAGAAAGGGTAGAGGTTGAAGCCTGTGCATTCATGTCAGCACAGAAGTAAGCTGATTCAGTGTTTCCATCTCTAGCCAGCAATATGACATAATGATTATGAGAAAATGTTCTGGGCATCTCAAGTCTTCTTCACACATGAAATAGTTATAGGGACACATTATAAATGGAGTTTTAAGTGATACAAATTAGCATGGTTGGTTGCACATGTTATGTATCATAGGCATGGTCAAGGGCCTTTGAGCCTTACTTCCCATATATTTTTTTAACTCCAACACCAGAATATTACTTATCCATATTCACACAAAAGTCCTTAATTCAGGCTGATATGGGCACAGACACAAAATTCACATTCAATCTCACCTTTCAAACATATAATGGTTTAGTGCGCAAGCATTGTAAATCATGTGGGAAGAATCCATTTTATCCAGTGATACATGAAGAAAATACAAAGCATTATACATTATACCACTTTAAATGTCAACAATCCTGAGACTAAATTGAATAGATGTCTCTTGCTAACACAATGTACAATTTAGAATATAAAGCTTGACAATAACCGCCCAAAGGCAAAATGATGTGAAATATGTGAAGCACCACAACATTGTCTACATCTATTAGAAATTCTGTTGTTCTTACATGCAATTATACTCATTCATCCTATAGTTATCACATGAAAAGGAAAGCCGAGGAGCACTTCTTGGAAAAGCTATTTGCTAACATACACTTTGAGAAGAGTCTAGTTTACTCGAATCAATGTTATTAGCACCAAAATCAACATAGGGATCCACCTGAGAAGCAAGTAATAAAAAAGTCAGACGATAAGAAAAACACTACAATAATTGTCTGATCTATAATTAGCATGAAATGAATATATTCTAAGCAAAAAAAAACTTTTCTAGTGACAATTCTCACATAAATTAAAATATTTTAGTGTATAAATTCTCCTTATAACCACAATTTTCCGGATTAATTACTTGATTTTGTTTTTCAAATCTTCTCCAAATTCAATACAAAACTCATTTTCGTGAAGCTATCCCCACTTTGTATTTGATTCACTATCCCTACTGTAGAAAAGAAAACATGTCATTCAGATTTTGTATGCTAATTTGATAAGTAAACAGTACCATTGGTCTTTCTGTCCCTTTGAATGAGTGAAAGGAAGGACTGGCAAAATCAGGAAACTTCAATACGGCATATGCCCCCTTATTGTTACATCTCCTTTTACCAAACTGCAGCATAAAATAGCTTTTAGGAGATATAATATTTCAGATGCTGCGGATTTCATAGGGTTAGAACTGTCTGAAGTGTTAAAATCACCATGTCTGTATAAAATTCCTGTTTGCAGAGTTACTAGTGAAATCAGAAATGTACACCACATGCTAATTGTGAATGAAATTTCCATCATTTCAAGGATAAGTTAATTGTAAATAGGTATTCCATCATGCTAGATTTCTAAGTTATAAACACTAGATGTTACTTGCAGAGAAAATTGTAACCACTATAAGAAGTAATCTTTTTCAAGTTGGAAGTGTCATAGCACGGTAAAGCTAGCTTTCCCAGTGAGAGGTTTTAATTTTTTCCATACATAACGTTTGAATCTAATATCTTTATTAAGAAAACCCAAACATGCACGCATTAACCATCCATCAGTAATGATATCTCATACATTAACTATAAGACGTAACAAACAAAATATATCACTAAAATTCAACTTAACAAATTAATTATAAAACATAATGTTAGTCCAGTGCTTGCAACAAGCAGAATAAATAGATTCAAATCCAACATAACAAACTTATGAAGTAAATAATTTATCAACTTCTAAAACCAATATTTCCATTCTCCAAGATATGCAAAATACACTAATGGGAAAATATACAGAGATTTGTGAAGTTGAAATATCACAAATCATATAGTGATTTAAATGGTATTTGTTAAAGTAATGGTGCTTGTAACATTATTTAAATAACAATTATATATAGGTATAGTCATAAATGAAAATTACAACCAGTAATAAATTAATAATATTGATAAAAAAAATGTAAATTTGAACCTGTGGATAGTCTGGAGCACTAAAAAGTGTACAAAGTTTTCCCGATTCTCCATCATGATCTATGCTGTATCCTCTCAGCATATTCCCAAGATCATCATCTTTACCAGCCCTTGAATCGGGTTCGTCATGTGATCTGATAATCAGCTATGCAGAAAAAATAACATTTACTAAGAGTAATATTATTTGGTAATAAGTCAAATAATAGTTTACACTTATTCTTTTTTACAAATCTAAGCATGCAATGCAATCCATTTTGTGCGATGACAGGTATCATTGATGACAATATGTTGTTATAATAGTTCCAAAAATACAACACTAAGCTCAAGCGTGGTATTTTAGTGATTGCATTCCCGATAATTAAAGTGAAAAGAATCAAGTACAAACAGTATAAGGGAATTTTTGAAAACAATAATGGGGAACTAGCACACCTAAAAACATGAATAATTCAATTTTCTTGCTGGAGCAAATGATTATAATGTTTTTCTTTTCAGTTAACAAATAAATTTCCTGAACATAGGAATATACAGAAATAAGAAAAGAAGGCAGACTATGCTTAAACAGAGTAAGTAAAAGAGAAAAGTGGTGCTTTGCTTCAAATAATAAAGAAAATATGCATTCAGTATTGTCAAATTATCATTTTGAATTTTATTACCTTTAAACTGTGGTTCTTTAGAAATTCCTCAGTGCAATCAGGACCCCACCATAAACCTAACTTATGGCCTGTATTATCCCTCAGACCATACCTGTTTGATGGTCTTGACCAGAGAACATCACTCAACAATATGTTAGGACCTTCATAAGGACAATCTATACAGGATCTTTTAACTTCAAATAACTCGGCTAAAGAGCCAAGATCCACTCTATGTGTTTTATTCCGTTTTGGTCTCTGTGAAGGGGCTGCATGTATGCTACGGAAAAGTCCTCCATGAGTAGTATAAACACAGTTGGCAATAACTGAAGCTAATGGAAGCTCCTTGAAACACTCTAGGAATTTATTGTAGACATCATCACCTTGATCACCATATTTGGCCCACACCTCCTTCTTAAAACCATATCTCGCAGTGCAATATCTTGATTCATGATTTCCACGAAGTAGAAATACTCTGTGAGGCATCAATACCTGAATATGCAATAACAGCCTTTACATACTAATAAATACTCAGTGTGTAATATATACGTAAGTATTCTATTTGTCCATCATAACAGTTATTAGGTCATACAAATATTTCTAAACAGTATCTTCCGTGACCTTTTTTCTCCTCTTGGTGAATGTACACCAAGAAGGAAACAACCGCCAACAAAATCATGAAGGATCTCAACATATAATAAGTTTTGCAGCCATCACCTTACCTTCCAAGCCAGTAAGACCAAAAATACTTCAATTCCCCAAGCTCCTTTATCTACATAATTTCCATTAAAAACGTAAATCTGGTTCTCAGAGGGCACTCCTTCATGCTTGAAAAGAAACATTAAATCATGAAACTGCCCGTGAATAGCGCCAACTACGATTACTCTTGAATCTTCTCCTTCGCAATTGATCTCCACACAGTTTGGTTCTTTACACAAAATACTGCAAGCAGCATCTGTCAATTTGTCCACCAAAAGGGTGGGTACAACATGACAGAATTCCGATGGCAACATCTTCTGTGAGGCCTGCTCAAGGATGACCATCACATCCTGAACCCACTCAATTGTGACACAATCATTAGGCGGCCACATAAGAAATTGCTCAAAGCATGGTAACAGAGACTCCTGTATTTCATCTATCTCATTCTCAAACCTTAAAACGTGTTCTACATCCAACATCTCATCTTCGTTAGTCATGCTCTGTGCTCCATCAATTAGGGCATCCCCATTGCTAATCTTGGCTGACTCAACCACGGGACTATCTTGCATTCCTTCATCCACAAAGCCAACCTGTAAAACTGATCAATGTACCTTAAAGAGAAATCTTAAGTCGAGACAAAATGAAACAAATTAAAACATAACAAGACAGCAAGCACAATTAACCCCTTAACCCCTTACTTCTTCGGCAAGCAAGTTAGGCCTAGCTATTGCAACTCGAGGTTGTTTATCAATAACCCCATGTGCAATTTCTTTCATCCTCGTCACTAAATGCATCCTTTGGTCATCCAAACCTTCAAAGGACATTCTACTTAATATCTGAATGATATCCCTGGATGAACAGACCTGCAAACTGCATCAAGTCAGTTAAGAGAGACAAACATCAACATTGACATAGTCCATGCCGAATTAACCCTCAAACTAAAAGGAATCATTGTGAACCATTTTCTCAATGCTGTAGCGCAAGGCAGTGATGACATCACTCCTAGTCACCTGCAAATATCACCCAACTTATGAAGGTAATGTTCAGCAGGACAAAGATAAACGTGTAAAAAAAACACTTGTAATAGCAGCCGCTAAATTTATCGATGTAAGTACCTTTCTATCTCTGTCATCAACAACCCCACGTGCTATTTCTCTCATCATCACTAAAGAATGTACTTGCTGATCATCTAAGTTTGCCAAAGACATCGAATTTATTCCTTCCAAAATCTTCTGGCACCCATTCTTAATTCTCTCTTTCTGGTGGTCCATGATAAGAGCCCGCAAGCCCGAAGAGAGAACTACATTAACTGACACATGTAACAAAGACAATACCCCAGATGATTATTTTCACTCAAACTAACGTGAAGATAGTTAGAATATAGAAAGGTGAGAACTTTAAAAGTTCAATGAAGACCCAGATATGAGGAATGAAGTGGTGAAGCAGGTTAAGCAATACCCTCACTCCTGGTATAACATTTCTTCCTTCACTTTAGCAGGTACTTCTGCTTTTGTTCTACAAGAAAAATGTTCTTCAAATTGAGAATTTGAGTGCCCCGATTTGGGTAAGGCAGCAAGCGGAGCTTCAAAGTCTTCTCCTTTATCCTGAGCGAGTGATGTACGTTTCCCAAAAGGAAGAAAATTAGGGTTTGCTTCTGGTGCTTCACCGATTCTAATGCTTACGGATCAATGGAAATTGATAATGCAGAAAAAAGGCAGAAATTATATTATTAATTATTATTAATCGTCAATAATTGAAGAGTAATAATAAATATGTTTGTGATAAATGCTTTTAATCACTCCAAGTTTATTTTATTTCTGTAATTGGGAGATATTTGTGATCAAACGATACTTCAGTAATATCTTTCACCATGTGGTTTTATTTTTTAAAACAAATACCACTTGGTTACAATTTTATGTTTGAATCAAAGTTCATATTTAAATATTTTTATGACTCAATTGCATTTCACATTACCATAATAATGCATTGAGTTCAATGTTTTTTAGTTTATATAAATCTCCCTATTGTTCACATTAATAATTTTTGTTTTTGTAAATTATAAGAGATTTAAAAACAGATTTTATTATTATTATTATTTAGCGATAACATAAATATAAAATATTTGGTAACATATTATTTAAAAGGGATTGCTAATATAATGTTTTGATATACATTACTCATGAACAATGAGTGATGGAAGCTAAATTTTATAAGGACTTAAAACATAAAACATACTTGACAAATTAAAGTTGTTTTTGATAAACAATATTCATAAAAAAGTAGTGTTAGTAAGTTTCTATATACTCACTTAAATATTGAAAAATGGATGTTTTGTTTTATTTATTTAAAGATTAAGAAGATGACAATATGTTAGGGAAATAGTTTTTAAATGTATGATATAGGAATGAAGTTGGTTCATTTTATTATATCTGCTATTAAAATTATTATATTAACTTGGAATAGGCGAAGTAAAACTAATATTTTTTTTCTATTACATACTAAATGAGAAAATTATTTATAAAATAAATTAACATATTTTGACGATTATAATATTCATAAATTAATAAATTTATGCGATCTTATTGCGTAGCTTATGTTTCGAATATTAGTTAGATTTAATGCACACTTCCATAGTTTAATTTCTGGAATGCTGAATTAAATCCAAACTCGTGTATAGCAGTAATAGGCAGAGAAAATTGACAGGGAGGTGTAATTAGAATTCAGAAGGGGCAGAAAGAAACCTTCATACCCATTTGCTTCTGTGAGTTGGCCCAATGGTGAATTTCCAGTTTTTCATGTGTATTATCGGACGACTCTGAATAATCTACGAATTTGTAATTATTAATAAAAAGATTTTTTTTTTCACAATTACTGTACAAATTTAGATATAAACCTAATGTTGGGTGAGTATTTCCTACGATTTCTATCTTTATTTTTTATTTTTGTTAATGATATCACAAAGTAATACATTCATGGGAGTGGAGATAAAAAAACTGAAGTTTTCAATTTGTTTTTTAAAATAGATTAATTAGCTCATGTATATATTTGATTTTAACATTATAGTATTTTTCCACCATAAAACTGAGAAAGTGAATAAATTATATATTTTAAAAGAATTTAGCCATCAATTCGTCAATTTGAAATTACGAGTTAAAAAATTAAAACATATTTTTCCTTTTTCTAAGTCATGATTTGTTTTTTATTATTTTCATCCATGATTTTAGATATTGAGGCTTTTAAATAGGTTTTTAATTTGATATTTTTAGTTTTTGTATTGTATCATCACTTGGTTATATCACATACCAAACCTTTTATATCTTCACGAGTTATCTTTGTTACCCCAACTAAAAAATAGGATTGAATAATCAGTCAACGAAAAATCTCTCTCTCTCTCTCTCTCTCTCTCTGTACATATATATATATATATATATATATATATATATATATATAGGTATAAGATAAAGATATTGGTAATTGTATTTAATTCATTATTAATACTTAGGAATACCTTGATAAGTAATCTTTAAACTCAACACGAACAAGTGACATCATCGAACGATAACTTAAAGAATTTAAATTAAATTACAATAAGATATTTGACCTTAATTCATATAAACAAAGCAGTTTTCAATAAATA